AAGAAAATCATCAGCAGTTGCTTTCTGTCATGCAACTCCCATATTCACCCCAGTGATGCTTCTCTTTGCCAGAAAAGGCCTCCAGTGCAGCATCTATTTGCCACCTTAATCACACATACACATGGACATATGTGTATGCATGCTAGGATGGTGTTCAACTTTGTGGAGGATAAGTCAGTCAGTGGTTACTAGTCATGATAGCTATGCAGTTGTTGGAGAGTGGGATACTGCCTTGTTTATGGGCTTCCTGAGGCATCTGTTTGCCTGCTCTGTGAAGTGGATGCTGTGCTTAGTTGGACCTTTGGTACAATTCACTAAGACTCTTCTAAGGTTCTTACCTGTGGATAATCTACAAATTGGCAGGAGATGCATAGACACAATCCAGCTGCATTCCTGCTCCCTCAACCCATAGACTTTATATGAGTTCTGGTGCAAATAGCATTTCCTTACCCTGACAGTGCAGGGGAATGTATTCAAGCTAGTGGCTGGAGGAAAGGCAGTTTGCTTAATTTTTTTGCATTCACGGCAACACAGTTAATGAAGAAAGCATGCTTCCATGCATGGATTGTTGTCTGTGAATTGAAAAGAAAATGCGAAAGTGCCATTGAGCAAATTCATACATGAATTTCAACTTGGCAGAAGCTAAGCAAGGGAAAGATATGAAACAGAAAAGGGAGATGAATGGGTAGACATAGGATGACAAAGGGAAAACCATCCTATGATGATTGATACATTGAATTAAAAAAAATATCCAATGTTTGAAAGACAATACTGGAATACAGCTTTACTGCTGTGGTGAAACACACATGATCCCTTTAGTTTATTTCCCCCCTTAGTTATTGAATTTATATTGTGTGTGGCTTCATCAAACCCTCAATACTCTTAACACCAAAGAGAATTGGAATTTGAAACTGGATCTAAATGTTTCATCTATCCTGTCTGCAGTGAGATTTGCACCAAAATACCAGACCCAGGCATGCTGAAGAACAATGATGTTCAAAATTCAGAATCTGTATTTTCCCAGGGTCATGGGTATGAGCTGATATATTGTGCATGATCCGATATCTTGTGTCGGCTCTGTCAAGGTGAATAATTGGGGATGCATGCATTTTATATGTCACTCAAACCTTTCTCTCTCCCTTTAAATCAGATGCAGCCTTCTAATGTTTCAGGCTTATTTTTGAGCAATGAATCGATTTTCCTCAATATGCTGCATTGAGATTTTTCTCTAACTTCACATTTGTTTAATGTTGTTAATTGAAGATGAATTATCCATGGTTATATTAACTTGAACTTGAACTAATGTGCTTTTTTGTAATTATTAGATTTTGTGTAGGAGTATTAGAGCTTTAACAGATATCGAAAACATAGACACAATGACCATTATTACGTACTCTGTATTCTTTTGACATTGTGATAATACTCTCATTAACTTGGGTGAAATGAAGTCTGCATTTTAAAGAAGCTCAAAGGATACATTTTCCATGGCTAACTTTTAAAACAAAAAACTTCATGTGTTATAACTTAATCTATATACGGTAGTTCTTTTTCCCAATACTTTGGCCACTTCATGAGAAGAGAAGACTCCCTGGAAAAGACCCTGATGTTGGGAAAGTTGGAGGGCACAAGGAGAAGGGGATGACAGAGGATGAGATGGTTGGACAGTGTTCTCGAAGCTACAAACATGAGTCTGACCAAACTGCGGGAGGCAGTGGAAGACAGGAGTGCCTGGTGTGCTCTGGTCCATGGGGTCATAAAGAGTCGGACATGACTAAACGACTAAACAACAACAACAATTTGATGGTAGTATTTGTACACCATCCTAGGTACCTTTTGGTTGAATGGTGGTTTTAAAATGTCAAAAACAATGACAGCAACAGCAATAATAATAATAATAATAATAATAATAATAATAATAATAATGGTACCCCCAAATCATCTGATCTTGGAATGAAGAATATACAGCTTTAAGTTTGGAGCTTTTAAGCAGACAAGTTATCAACTTATGTTGACAGTTACATATGTGAAACTCAATGTAGTCTCTCATTGTGTGCTTGACTAAAGTCTTTCAATCATTGTTGGAAGATGCTGTAACACACATGCTCAGTTCAGGGGCTTGGATGTTTCCTGAAAGATTGCCTTTCAAACTAAAGATGGTAAAAAGATAATCTCCATGCCCTAGTATAACTTGCTTGTGATATTCTCCTGAGTTTCAAAATATGTTTGCCAGAACTGCTGTTCAAGAAACATAAGCCCAAAGTGCATTTGTGGTGAACAGACATAGTTGGTCAGCTCTCTGACCCAAGCAAGAGGCTCTGATCCATGTCATCCAGCAACTGCTTCATTTTTGTTCTGTTTATGGAACCAAACATCTCATGCATTCTGAGTGCCTGAAACAGGATGTTACATTATCATTTACTGGAACAACATGGGATGATGTTTGAAATGGCTTCCAGATATGTCACTTGAAACACAAAATGACAAATTCTCTTCTTATTTATACATGCTGTTGTGAAGAAAATTTTGTCCATAATGCACTCTTTGGAGTAGTTGGGAGTGAAACATGGAATATATCAGCTTGAACCAATCATTTATGGTTTTGGATGGGAGGCCCTCATTGTTTCAAGAAGAGATGGATCTTCTGGTTAGAACTACTGGCAGAAGGATTTAAAGATACTGCGATCTCTGGAGAAAGTACGCCCAAAGATGAATTCCAGCTACCATAGAATAAAATGTCACCCTCTTGCTTTCACTGATCTTAATCCTGTCTGGATTCTATTGTTCTTGAAAAGGGCTGCTGATGAGGAAAGTCTCTGTTGCAGACATGCAAACAATTCTTCCAAAAGTCCTCAGAGCAAAAGGGAGAAGAAATGGTCCAGATTATAGCATTCTGAATGTCTTGGAGCATCTTTGTAGGACTACTTTAAACACCCACCCACCATGCTCGTGTATGTCTGCTTGGCATCATCCAGAGAAGCATTTGGCTTGTCACATTTTGACAACAGAGACGTTAAGCATTGTTTAGCAGGTCAACATAATGCAGACCAAGTTTGGCTAGTTTGAGCAGGTTGTATTTCAAACAACCATAAATAATACTGACCCACATGTTTGGGATCTCTCTCTGGCCACATTCTCTTCCTAAACTGACTTTTTCCAGTTTTGTCTGAAGTGATACTATTGGATAGCAGAACAGGAAGGCACAGAGTGTAAGACGGTGTCTGGAGAACTGGCGACATTGCACTTTTGAGAGAGCTCCACAAACAAACTTGCACAGGGAAAGTCAGAGTGGTGTACTAGTGCAACATATTAGTGTCTGTGTCAATGGTACATTGTATCGATCAGTTATAATGCTATTTTACTGATTGTTAAAAGAAACTACAGTGGTACCTCAGGTTACATATGCTTCAGGTTACATATGCTTCAGGTTATAGACTCCGCTAACCCAGAAATAGTGCTTCAGGTTAAGAACTTTGCTTCAGGATGAGAACAGAAATCGTGCTCTGGCAGCGCGGCAGCAGCAGGAGGCCCCATTAGCTAAAGTGGTGCTTCAGGTTAAGAACAGTTTCAGGTTAAGTACGGACCTCCGGGACGAATTAAGTACTTAACCCGAGGTACCACTGTAATGGAAACAAATCAAAGGACTGGTGGAGCCAGTACAGGGAATGATGAGATACAGTATCTTGTTAGAAAGATGGGAACCTGGGGCCCTCCAGATGTTGTTGGACTAAACCTCCCATCTTCCCTAGACAGCATGGCCAATAATCAAGGATAATGAGAGATACATTTCAAAAGGTTCCCCTTGTTAATTCCGGTGGCAGCTGTTTGCAATCTCCTTGACTGCTGGAACAACTCAGTGTATGAGTTGTACAAAGGAGTGAGTTGTACAAAGGTTCTTGACTGTAGTCTCAGCTAAGGGCTTATTACCATAATGGTTCTCGAGTCTCTGATCTTGGCTTGGGGTTCTACCTTATGTTCTCTGACCCTATGTTGGCAATCTTTTGGCAACCACTTAATGGCAGTCACCAACAAGGCAGCAACTTATAATACAGACTCCTAGGGGGTGGGGCAGAGCAGGTAGACTGTCTGAAATCCCTTGGCAGAAAGTCAACCTCCCGAAGCCAAATCATCAGTTTGGTTTAATGTGAATTTCACATGTGATAGATAAAACAAACCAACAGTTTATAGTTAGTTTGTTTGCATTCATGTATGTATCTTGCTTTAAAGAGAGTATAGTATTAAAACTATATATTAGGCAAAAGCATGGGGGGACCATTTCTTTCCAATATATAGAGCGCACATGATTATTTATTAGCCCGGTGAATTTTATGTCATCCAACTTCTAGTCAAAACCCCGTTTTTAATGTCATCAACCTTGCATGAACAACTGGCCTTTTAAAATCCAAGATGTTTTCTGCTTTCATACATCATTACCGATAACAGGCAGATAATGGAAACCATGTCCTAATTCCCAATACATTGTTTTTCATTTGAACTATAAATAGGAAATAGTAAACAGAACAATACCAAATCAAATTTATAAACTTAAAGAATCCTGCAGTGCAGAATTACAAGGCAAATATAAAATGTTTTGTCTTCCCAGTCTGCTGAACCAAAGCGAAATAATGAATGCTACAACATTCAAACTGTGTTATTCCCAAAGCACATTTTGCGATTGCAAGGTAAAAGAAGTGGCAGAATTATGTTGTTATTATTTCAACCTTTGATTTTCCACATTCCTTTTTTGTGCTTTTCTGGTTCTATAATTACATGTTTGCAATATTCATTAGCACTAACTTTAACATTATTAAAGTCTAGAGAGAGCCACATTCACCTTTCTGCAGCAGCAAAAGCAGCTCAACATAGTTGGAAATAACTAATGTCAGCACTTACATGTAATAGGCAACTAGTACTGCTTCTCATCTCTTTAAGGAAATTAGGATAAGTAGGAATTGAAGCATCCCATAAAAGAATCACCTGTGGTCCTCCATTGGGGAAGGGCTGCAGCTCAATGATAGAGCATCTGTTTTGCTTACAGAAGGTCCTAGGTTGAATCCCTAGCATCTCCAGGTAGGAATGAGAGGTACTTCTGTCTGAAATACCTGAGAGTCAATGCCATTCATAAACCAAGGCGCAGCTTCCGATTGGCTGCAAGAGCTTCCTGCACTCAAGCGGAAGCCGCGTTGGACGTTCGGCTTCCGAAAGACGTTCGCAAACCGGGACACTTACTTCTGGGTTTGTGACATTCAGGAGCTGATTTGTTCAGGAATCAAGCCATGCAGGGACCAAGGTACCACTGTATGGTCAATACTGTACTTTTATGTGGTCAACCAAAATATCACAAAGCAGTCTGCAAGCTTTTAAGTTCTCCAGAACTCTGTATCTAGCAGAGTGATGGGGGAATTCTTTTTGAATGGTGGGTGTTGATGTTGAAGCCATTGAGTCTGCATCTGGTGGCAGTCTTAACTTGGAATCAGGGAAGAGGTAGCAGACATTTAAATTAGATTCTTTTGGATGCTGTGCTGGTAGGAATGGACACATTTATCCATTTAGGCTCTCTGTTTCTCATCTTTTCAATCTTACATTTAATTGTTCCCATTTTCACATCTGCTATCATTTTTTTATTTAAAAAATGCATGAAAATTCATAATATGATTTGGATGCATTTAACCCAATATGCACATATTTGCAAGCAATTTCCCCTAATATGCATTTTGGACACACTTGCACCTAATATATGCTTTTGGCATGCACTTTGGGGTTGGATAAGCACAAAATGTGAAGAAGTGCAGATTTTTAAAATAGAATATTTTATTAAATCTGTAGAAAAGTAACATTGATCAATTCCAACAAAGCCTGCAGAATGTTACATGCTTTTTTGAATCAACATAATAAGGGGGGGAAATGAGTGTTGAGCCTACTGAGCAGAGGCGGGGATCCTGATTTCTAACCTTCCTTTCACATTGCAGTACAGATTACTGGTGTGAATGAAATTTAGCATGGCATAGTGGTATATAGGTACTGCAGTGTGAGAGGAACATTAGAGAATGAGAGAGAAGCACTAATAACAGAAGAAGCCCCTACTTTTGAATGCAGCCTAAGTCCTCCATGTAGGCTAGCAAGAAGCAATATCACAGTAAAGGACACATTCCAGACAGGGCAAAGCAACTGAAGGAAGACTGGAGCAGGGTTAGTGAGGAGTGTCCTGGGGAGAGGGCGTCTCAGGGGGCTGGATAGGAGTTCTGGAGGGTTGCATGTGGTTTCCATGCCTAAGGCTCCCTATCTCTTTCCATCAGTTTCCTGTAACTACTTTGAAACAGGACGGGAGTAACTTTCTGAAGTGTGCAGGCCTCAAGAAAGCCTTGCTGAGCTTTGTTCTTATTGTCATCCCCGGAAGTCATCATGGTAGAGGATATCACAGGTAGAACAACTGCAAAATCACTCCATCAGCCAGGAGCAGGAGGCAATATGGAGTGCTGAACCCATTCAATCCTTTTGATAAATCATCAGGAAACCTCACCATTGACTTCTGTTGCCAGCAGAAAGATTTCAAATATCCAATCATTGCACCTCTCAAACAATAAAAAGTACCATATGCATCAGATCTAAGTTTCAAAACTGCTGATACTTTGCATTCATTCCAGAGAGCTTTAATTCAAGCCTGGAACATTAATGCATTGCAACATTTTATTCTTGTGAGGTAATGTCTTTTCAGGAGATGGCTTTTTTTAAGCATACAGATCCTCAGATCTTCAAGTTAATGCATCCTACCGCAATCTCTATGTACTAAAGAGATGAAATCTCTGCCAAGTACAATATGGTCTCTGTCCTCTTCTCTGAGTACCCTTCTGCTATTCATTTCCCTGTCCAGGCTTTGGATATGAATGGCCAGAGGAGAAAATATGATAAAAATAAGCAGAATAGATCTTGTTCTAGGGTACACCTGACCTTCCCCCACCCCAAAATGGGAAAGAAGCAGACTTGTGTAATGGCCACTTGGGGAACTTGGATTGCATTTGCCACTCTCTTGGACACCATTCTTTACAATTTTCTTCCAGGCAAGCCCCACTGAAGTGAATGGGAGATGCACTAGAAAGCATTTTAGGTGCTTTTGCATAACCCCCATTCATTCCAAACGGAAGTTCCAGATGGAGCATGTAATACTTTATAGTGTTACTGGATATTAATTCATTTCCCTCTCCCTAAGCTGCTGCTTGTCACTGACAGATGCGAAATTTATTAGCAAGCACAAGACAGTATGGATATCCAACAGACGCTAACATTCACCTCAAAAGTGTTTAAAGAGCTACAAAGCGAACAGCAGATTGTAGCAGAGCTAGTTCAACTTAGCATCAATTAAAAGGTTGCAGATGGCCCCGATGCTGTTTGAAAATTGCTAATATGTGTGTTTCCGAGAGCAAAGTTGATTTAGGCAAGCAAAACGTCACGGATAGGGTTGCATCACATTCTTATGGGGGTTGTTTTTCTCAGTGAGATGTACTATGTTGGCAGATCCAAAACTTTCTTAAGAACTGTGTCCCTGGGAGCAGGGAATCGCCTTTTGTTGCAGAATTGGGAATGACTGAGAGGGGTCAAGCTGGGAATTATATTATGTGTTCCGATGACCTGAAAACTCCTGTTGTGATTCGAGGACCCGATCCCCGCTTGGGGAATAAAGACACGTGGACACAGTATGTAAGGTTAATGGGTAAGGAAAAGGCCACAACTTTATTGATTACAGCATGTGAGAAGGTATTGGCTTAGGCATTGGACCATGGAACATTAGACTCCACCCACTAGGAGAGGGGTGAGTCTGAGGAGGGGTTAACCACCAGTAGGGGGAGCCTGTTGATGCTAATACAACTATAAGCTCTCTCCTGATGTCACGAAGGGTCGTGCCACGGCCCCCTGCCACACGGGCATCGGACAGGATCCACGACCGCCGGATTCCTTTAGTGGAATACCCAAAATTGTCGGGGAAGGTGATGGCCACACCTTGCCCCCCCAAACACCAACAACACATTCCAATGAAAATGTGTGTGCAATGGCGGGGATGGCTGGCACGGCCGCGTTTGAGCGGCAAGCCACGGCCCCGCCGAGCTTCCCTATTGGGTGCCCAACCGGGGAGGGGCGTGGCACGCCAGCCCTGGAGTTGAAGCAGGGGGCGAAATGCCCCCTGCATGACGTGGGAATCGTCTCCCACTCACAACCCCTCCCCTCCTGGAGGAGGAGAGGCTTTCCAAGGCAGGAAGCTGCTAGTACACACTATCATAAGTTGCAGTAGCACCCAGAGGGGCTATGCAGATGGCTCCATTGCTCTCCTGAATTCTCTCCTGTCTGCACTTTGGTGAACTCCCTGCTGCCCTGGCTCTCCCCCTCAGTAACTGGTGGAGACTCGTGGTGTTGAGAAGCCAGGAGACCAATGCAGTCCCACCAGCTGCTACTGATGACTCATCTTGTTTATCAGCATAGCTTCAGTTGGCAGATTGGTCAGGGGAAATCGGACATGTACAGGACTATTTGTGTGCACAAGTCCTCATTCAGCTAACGTTATGCGTGAGAAGAGCCTGCTCTGTTAATGTATCTGGCCTTAGCTGGAGTGAATCATGGAAGTACACTGCATGATGAAAGAGAATGCTATATAATAAGGCCCTATAAAACCAAAGGCATTCAAATTTAGCTTTGAAAAGCTGAAAATATCTCAAACAATTCTATATTTTACTCCCATGCATTTTGCAGCTTTCTATAGTGCTGTAAGGAACTCGTCCTGCTATAACATAGTGCAAGGGAAGAGCTACGATAACTAGACGTTTTTATGGTTTAATGTACCATGTGGCTGGGAAAATGTTTCATAAACTAGCGGATGTCTGATGCATTTGACATAGATTTGTTTTTGAAGTTAGGTTAATATTAAAAAAGCAGCTTTTATCTTTTTTGATTACTCTTTTCTGCATGTAATCAGAGCTAATTTTTGTTCTGGGCCTGATAGTAAAGTAGAGATTTCCAGTCTTTTCTCTGGCAACTGTACAAACATCTATAAATCTGTCTGCCATGGAAATAAAAGGAAAGAAGAGGAGAAATATTTTTTTACGAACTTTTCATTTTTATTGTGGTGGGTATTCCCCCCCCCCCCGAATTACAAAGTTCTTGGGATTCTTATTACTAAAATAAATATTTTTTCCTTGTTGAGTGCTATTAAGTAGCACAATTTGATATTGAAAGTTGCATTATTCCCCTTTTTTAACCTCTGTTCACAATATTGCAATCCTGTATTATACTATCACAAAATATTATTAGGGCACAAGCTAGCAAAATAATGCACTTAAGTCTAAAATCTGCACTCATGATTATCTTTAGGAGGTTCCCCTCATTGATTTCAGTGGGAGGTGGAGTCCAACCAGTGAATGTTCCCACTGATGTCATTCTGATAGCTCCACATGTTTAAAATTATGCACAGCTCAAGTACTTTCTAGTATGGACACATTAGACTTATTGTTTCCTTTATTAATGGAGTCCAAGAAAAATGTGTGCTTCATTTTATATGCAACTTTGGAGTGGCTAGATCACTTACAGACAAACCATGTTGCTATTAGTGAAAGAGAATGATTGTAGGGCTGATCTCCCTTCCACTTTGAAATCTAACCCAATGTTGCTTTAATTCTGGTCAGTTTCACATTCACTAAAGTTTCTTAAGTAATGCTATTGGCAATTAACCTGTACAAGAACTGAACTTGCTCAATTAAAAGATAGCGCTCAGCAAGCTTGTGACTGTCTTTTGCAAACCAGTTACACATTTTTTGCACAGCTTAGGCCCTTTCAAACGTAAAATTATTTGAAACTACCTCCTGAAAACACCTGCTAGAGCCCAGCACAGAAAACACTGAAGCAAAAACCCAAAACGAATACAAACAAAATCAGTTTAATGGAGATAAGTGTTTGCCAGTATATTGTGACCTTTGAACTTTTGCAGCTGGGAAATCTACGTTTTGTTTACTGCTATTGATTTTTATCTTTGTATGCATTTCAGAATGGCTTTTAGCTCTTTTTATTTCTCTCTCTGTAATGGGAG